GGGGGGAGGCCGGCAGGGGCTGGGGGGGGCAGTGGGGGAGGCCGGCAGAGGCGGGGGGTAAGGGGGAGGCTGGCGGCCCCTCGGGTGTCCTGGTTTGTTCTGGTTTGTTCTCCAAGGCGACACGTCCCCAGCTTCCTGACCAAAATAGTCCCCGCCATGGGCCTCTGATGCGGAGCCAGTGCTCACACTGCAGTGAGCGCCTCTTCATCCGCCTCCCCTCCGTTTGGGGCAGATACCTGACTCTGCAAGGAACTCCTGCACTGGCCAGTGGGGTCCAGCCGCGTTTTGCCTGCATGGGATACAAGACCCTATTGTCCTGTACCACCCCTCCCCCACGCCCACTGCCTCTCCCAGAATCCTCCAGGCTGCGGCTCCTGTGTGAGATCAGGCCCCAGTCCTGAGGGGACTGGATGGGTCGGGGTGGGGAAGGGAGCAAAAAAAAAAAAAAAAAAAAGAAAGCAGCGGCCAGTAGGAGAGAGCTCGAGCCTATTTAAAAACACACATATATTCATAAAATAAATAATAACCCAAACCTATAAAGGTCTGGAATAGGCCAGTTGCAGTGGCTCCCACCTGTAATCCCAGCACTTTGGGAGGCCAACGTGGGTGTATCACCTGAGGTCAGGAGTTCGAGACCAGCCTGACCAACATGGAGAAACCCTGTCTCTACTGAAGATACAAAAAATTAGCCGGGTGTGGTGGCTCATGCCTGTAATCCCAGCTACTCAGGAGTCTGAGGCAGGAGAATCGCTTGAACCCAGGAGGTGGAGGTTGCGGTGAGCCGAGATCTCGCCATTGCACTCCAGCCTGGGCGACAAGAGCAAAACTCTGTCTCAAAAAAAAAAAAGGTCTAGAATGATACATACTAAATTGTTGAGGGTGGTCTTTTCTGATCAATGAGATCAGCTTTTCTTCTTCAGCTCATTCCATAGTATCCAAAAAAGTTTTTAACAATCATCTATCACTTTTTTGTAAGAAAAAATATAAAGTTGCTTGAACTTGAAACGTGTAGCTCAAGCCAAAGAAGCCAGGAGCAAAAAAAGATATTAAGGAGAAGTAGGTGCATAAACTCTGCCTATCATGTCCCTTGACGGTTGGTGTGACACCAGTTGTCGATTCTTTCTCGTCCTACTCGGAGGGAGGAGTGGCCCTTATGTAGCCCCTGGTGCTGTGCCGCCCTTTGCAGTCACAACACTTGTGGAGGAAACAGGGATCAGAGGACCCAGAAAGGTGCCAGGGGCCCCATGGCTGGGAGGGGCGGAGACGAGACCCAGGTCAGCGCAGCACCCACAGGAAGGGCAGAGGCAGGTGCTCTCAGGACGCCCCAGCACCAGGCCTCCTGGGAAGGGGGCAGCCCCGAGTCCAGGTGCTCACCCTCACCAGTTCTGTGATCACATGCTTGGCCCCATGGTGGGCCACGGATGGACAGGGGCAGAGGCATCAGTGGCCCCAGCTTAGCCCCTGGCCACCAAAGGAAAGGGCACCAGCAGTTGCCTCTGAAACATGGCCCTCGTGTCCTACCCTGAGAAACAAATGTGCCCTGACCTCCAGCTCACCCCCATCTCCCCTCTGACCCACCCCAAATCCAGGCCCTGAGTCTTCCACCCAGGCAGCTGCGAGGTGGGGCATGTGCTTTCAAGTACAGCTTTCCCCTGGTTTGGGCTGCTGCTAAAAATACACCATTATTGACAGGCAACATGTGGAGAGCTCTTTCTGGTGTTGGAAAAACACACTGGAGCCATTCATAACGCTGGTGTTAAGGGGCAGAAGAAATGCCCCCTTGGTGACAGACGTCCCATGTCCAGGCTCCAGTGCAACCTGGGACTCTGAGCCGGCACATGACATCCGTGAGGATGAGCTCCGTGCAACCCAGGCCTTCCCCTGCACAGGACTCTCCCCTGGAGCAGCCACAGCAGAGCACCTAGAACGTGGGCCGTAACAGCAAGTGGCTTTCTGGATCCCGGATCTCCTCCACCTGCTTCATCTGATTTGAATCACCCAGCAGCACTGTACACAGGGGATTACACACCATTCCCATTTCAGAGACTGAAACTGAAGCAATGCTTTTCTGTAGCTCAGAGGCTTTGCAAATGCTATTCCTCTTGCTCAAGGTGATCATCATAAAGTGGGCCAGAGTGAAGCCCTGAGCCACCGTTTAAGAAGCCTGGATGCCCTGAAGCCACCAATGGGACAGAGAAGCCTGAGATGCCCCGGCACCCCACAGCCCAGCTGTTTGAGTCATTCCAGCCCAGATGCCTGGAGAAAAAGGCTTTGAGATGAGCCCAGGCCCAGCCACCATCTCATGCAGCTGGTGAGAGAACCTGACCAAGACCCACAATGCTGACCTCAGGCAAGACCTGGACTGGGGAGCCACTGTTTGGGGGTATTTTGTTGTACAGCAATAGCTGAGCGCCTCCTTAGGCTCTAGGGCCCTTGAGGAGAGGGTGAGCAAAGCTGACAAATTGCTGTAAAGAGACCACGCCCCAGCTGAGCTGCGCTCAGCAAGAACCTTGTGGGGACTATGACTTCCGGTTTCAGCAGCATTTCAGGAAACGCCCGTGACAAGGCTTTGGGAAGGGTGATGACAACGAGGGCAGGGATGCTTGACTCTCCAGACAGCGACAATTCAGGCAGGAAACAGCAGCCTACTTTGCTACAGGGATCCATGAAAGTGTCTGAGGAGGAGAGGAGGCCATGGCTGAGGGCACAGTGGCGCCGGGGGGTTCACGTGCATTGTCACTTCTGCTCTCCCACTGCCCTGGAAGTCAGGCACGATTAGAACTCCATCTCTGAGAGGAGGCTCGTAGATGCAGAATAACTCGTCCAGGACACAGCCGGTAACTCCCGGAACTTGGATTTGAACGAGGTTCATCATTCTGCTTTCCTTATCCATAACAAAATGGATGGGAGGAAGGTGTGGGGAGAGGCCACACTACTGGACCTCTACACCAAAAGGGTTCAATAGAGCTGTGCAAATTTTACATCCAGACAGTCTGTCAAAGATGCCAGGGAAACCCTCCTAGGGGAGTCAGTGATGTGAAGTTAAATGGACATTCGGGCTCTTACCCTCAGAGGGAGGGTCAGCCAGACCTGGGTTTGACTCCTGCTCTTCCCT